TCTATTTTCAGTGAAATGTAGGGTTTAAATTATTTGCACATCATTGCATTTTGTTTTTATTTACATTTTGCATAGCATCCCAACTTTTTTGGAAATGGGGTTGTATTATTATTGTTGTTGTTGTCATAATAGTTGTTGTTATACCTTTACAAAAATATTTAAAATATTTATCATTTGTAGCACGTTTGGCAGATGTTTATAATAAACTCAGTGTTCACAGCATATAAATGTCAATGTTGCAGTGACTCAGTCAAATACATATACTGCATGAATCTCTACTGAGTGTGGTCCTATATATAATATAGTATATCTAATCCCACTGAACAGAAGGTACAAATATTAAAAAATAATAATTACTGAACCGTCTCTTTAGGTACACATCTTTTGGAGATTTTATTGTGTCTCAGCACAGCTCGACATCATGCAGCAAGGAACACCTTATCTTCTGTTATGTTTAGGTTAGTATGTGTGTGTGCTTTGTACCTCCCTTTTTGTTTTTGTTTTTATTATTTGACATAAAATGCCCTTTCCGTTGTGTCAAACTTGCATGATGAATGCACCAATAAAACTGTTCTAAAAGTACTTGAAATAACATAATTTTACCAGGGTTGTCAAGTGGTTAAAAAATATAATCATGACTTGTGTAGTTAATCATGATTAATCACATATTTATTTTTTCATCTGTTAAAATTTTACCACACAAAGATTTTAAGTGCATTGAAGTTGGACACAACATGTTTCACACAAATTTACTTATTTACTTACAAGAACTGTAACGAGAGAAAAATAATTTTTATATGTTTTATATATATATATATATAATTAAACTTCAGTTGTGAGGGAGTTTTATTCACTCATCAGTAAGTGCAACTTTGGCAAGTTCCCAAAGATGACTGTGGCTCTCGAGGGCAACTCATAAGTTGAGTTGTTGGACGCAATCCAAATTATGTCGTGCAGACCCTTGTCCACTATGTAAATTGGCCTGCGTGTTGTGGTCATCCATTAAGCAACTGGTGCCATTAATTTGCTGGAGGTTGACGTGTCCATTGTTTTCCACTGAACACTATTGAGTGTGGTCTGTTGCATATTACCAGGGCTAACGCTGTTGGTGTTAAATGTATGTTGGCCTCCATGTGAAATCGCTGGATGTACTCCGAGGATAATTAAACTCAGCCTGACACTTATTCTGTTTTCACAGACAGTGTTCCTGAGCCCATGCAGTGATCTCTACTACAGAATCATGTCTGTTTTTAATGCAGTGCCGCTTGAGGGCCCAAAGATCACAACCAGCAAATATAGTTTTTTGGCCCTGTTCTTTACATACAGAGATTTCTCCAGATTCTCTGAATCTTTTAATGTTATTATGTACTGTAGTTTAAAATTTGCTATTTTATGTTGAGAAATGTTATTCTTGAATCGTTGCACTATTTGCTCATGTAGTCTTTCACAGAGTGGTGAACTCCTCCTCATCTTTACTTCTGAAAGATTCAGCCTCTCTGAGATGCTCTTTTTATACCCAGTCATGTGACTGACCTGTTGCCAATTAACCACCAGGTGTTTTTTGTAGCATTGCACAACTTTACCAGCTTTTTGTTGCCCCGTCCCAACTTTTTTGGAATGTGTTGTTGGCATCATATTCAAAATGGGCATATATTTTCAAAAAACTATACTATGTTGTCTTTGTACTGTTTTCAATGAAATATAGGGTTTAAATTATTTGCACATCATTGCATTTTGTTTTTATTTACATTTTGCACAGCATCCCAACTTTTTTGCGAATGGGGTTGTAGAAACATACAGAATTAATGGTTAATCCTGTACCCGAACTTCTGAGCTTACACTGCGCCAGAGCCACCAATACAAAGATGTAGCATCCAAAATGTAGAGGACTAACTCTTTAGAGCAGTAACAGATCAGAGTGAAAAGATCACTGTGACTTAAAAAGAGGCTGGTTGACAGGCTGACATCTTTCATCAGAGTTTGCATTTACATTGGCTGGTGAGTAGCTTTGGTATGGAATAGATAGGATGACTTGATTAGGCTAGCAGGGTAACATTAGTGTATTGAACTCTTTTGGAGTTGACTCCCTGTCACTACTGTTCACATACACATCATGCTAATTAATAATATTTTTTAACTGTTTTTCTACAATTTATTTGGGTTGAATAAATTTGACCATTGAGAACTGACAGTCACATCAGTCAGTGAGAAAATGCTCACGTTCTTCACACCCTCAAAATAACACTGCTTTCCTGTAATAACATCCCTTCTTAATGGCTGAAACTTTACAGGTTTGTGTGTCCTGCCTGCTTCTTCATCTGTTCAGTACCTCTACGTATCTGAGGAGAAGTCCTGGGCTGAAGCGCAGAGTTACTGCAGAGACAAGTACACAGATCTGGCCACCATTTACACCAGCGATGACATTCAGCACGCCACTGAAGCTATCGGATCAGGCCAAGTGCGAGTGTGGATCGGGCTGTATAATAACTGGGGGTGGTCATCTTCAAGCGGTCAGCATAATCCCATATACAAAAACTGGGATTCAAATGAACCGGACAGTAGTGATCCAAAAAAAGTGTGTACTGCAATGAAGACGAATGGGAAGTGGATCAGCTTGGACTGCAATCAGACACAGCCATTTTTCTGCTACTCAGTAACAAGTCTGTTGGGTAAGTGTACCATTATAATTCATATGTAATGAGGGAAAATACATTATGATTTCTCATTCACATTGTCTTTAAAAGCTGAGTCCATTAGGGAGCCAGACGTGATCTCGTAAAGAGAACATCTGGAGACAACCATGAGAACTTTTGGGCTAAATGTATAGAGAACGTAGACCTATGAGAGTAGAAACAAACTGAGTCTGAAATTTCTAAACCAAGCCAAAGCCTTGTGAAGGCAGAGCTCAGATTAAGGGGTGAGGATGTGCTCGTCAGACGGACAACAAAAAGAAAGCAACAGAAAGCAGTTCTCTTTGCAACATAAAGCTACAGTGACAAAGAGTTGTTATGTTGTAAACTGCAACAACTACATAGAAGATGGTTGGAGAATGTTTAATATTCTGAGGGAATCACATCCCTTAGCCAAACACCACAGGAGATTATGGATCGAGGCCGTAATAAGGGTGGATTTGGGTCCCAATGGTCCCAAAGGCTGCATAAGTCTGCAGCACTCGCTTCACATCCAAACTGTAATTTTAATACTGGTAGCATTTTCTGACACGCTGATTTAGACGAGGCTGAAGTCAATTCAACTCAGAAATGGCATTTTATACTTGAGTCAACAAGAATTTACAATGTGAAATCTACCAAGTTACTAAAGTGGTTTTGCCCAGTAATGTTCGTTAAGAGGAAATCCAAATATACTGCCAGATAACTGAACTTCCTCATTTGTGTTAATGTGAATACAGGTTGCCAGTGCAAACGACCTGAAACAACTCATAAGTGATTATTTTACAAACTGTCCAAAAACCGAAAGTGAAAGAATCTGCAGAAAGGCTAACCAAACATGCAGCTGACATACATATACATGCATCTGTGAGTGGATGTGATGATGGGTGTTTATGCTCAGTGAGAGGTCAGGGTGGTGGGAGAGGGAGGGAAAGCAAGCTATCATTGGTTAGTATCACTTTCCCCTGCTGCTGGAATACAGTGACGCAACCAAACGTCTGATGCCATTTAGAGGCTACAAACGCCATTACACTTTGTTCAAAGATCACAGAGAAACAAGATATTTTTCTTTTAAATGTAAAGACACTTAACATTTACTTATGGTGCTTAACATACAACATATTGTGCTTAATATGACCAAAGACATGAACTGACAAGGTAAAAAATGTCCATGACTTTAAAAAGCAAAGAGGCCCTTTTCACAAGAAAACAAAGTACGCAAATGGCTGGTAAAACAAATTACACTATTGCCTATATGGCTACAGACTATTACTAATCTCAGAAAAACTGGCATTCATATCACTTCAGCTTACCATGGAAAGGTATGTCACTTTGTTATAGTCACCAAGATTGAAATTTAAGGATGTGTCCAGAATTGTTGAACACCAGATACACAACAATGTAGGAGTCCAAGCTAAATAAATGATGTACATTCTTTTTTCACGACTATCAGAGTATGATAATGCCAGCTAACGACTACAAAGTGATAAAATAATGTATATGTCTAAAACAGCTTAAACTAAAAAATAGATTAGCCATGTTAGCTGGAGATGTTAAAACTAAAAATTTGGTAAAAAAGGTAAACACATACCGGCAGGGTGGCTGCCTCGTTATAGCCCTGTTTTGATGTGCTACCTTGTCAAAATGTCCTACTGTACTGCATATTTTTAGGTAGCGCTCTACATGAAACTGTAGGTAGGATATTTTGATAGTCTAAATCTCCTTATCCGAAAACGTTACCAGCATAAAAAAATTATTAGGATTTTTTGATCGCCTAAATCACCCTATCAGGGATAAAGTAATAATATTGAGCTGAGTTTGTACTGATTTAACATTGAAAACACAATAAAACGTTTGAAATATTAAGTTACTACGTTATAGTAATGATATGCGCATGCTCAGTGGGACCACTTAATGGGTAGGACAAATTGTTAGAACAAGCCCCACTGTAGATGTTTTCAACAACCCCCAGCTCCAGTGAACGAACATCTACTCCCTGCTGGGAATTTGCTCTTTGAAATGCTGATGGTTTTTGAGGAGGAACATGAAACAGTTCTACTTAATGCAGCAGTGAACAGCACCAACATTCAGACTGCATACTGCATTCAGGGCAACGAACAATAGAGGGGAAAAAAATGAAAATCAACCAGCTGTAAAATCATAAGAAAAAAAACATCAACAAACAGATGGATAAGTAAACAGTTCTGGGAGTTTTAAAGAACAGTTTTTTGTTGTTGTTTTTTTTATGCAGAGAAAACCATAACGGTTTTTTTACTCATATGGGACAAACTAACATGGTACGGTGCTCAGAGTTACTGCAGAAGAGACAACATGGACCTGGCCAGCATAAGCAGCAGCACGGAGAACAGAGACGCTCAGGCATATCTACCTGCAGCAATTACAGCATGGATCGGCCTGAGCAGAAACGCCTGGACGTGGTCAGACAAGAGCCAATCCACCTTCAGAAACTGGCTGAATGAAGAGCCGACGAAGCTGGGAAAGAACTGTGCTCTAATAGACACAGACCTGCAATCCAGATGGGTTGAGGAGAGCTGCAGTGAGACGCTGCCCTTTCTCTGTTATACAGATGATGAACAGACCACAGGTGGGTTCAACTAATGGTACTGACACCAAAACCGATTATGCTGAATGATAAAGAAGAAGAATGTTGGTAACACTTTACATTAAGGGTCGCTAATCAATCATTAAATATATAATAATCAACTATTAGTTTCCCATTATTTAGTTATTAGTTAACTCTTCATTAAGCATTAGCTATTACTTAGTAATTGATTAAACACTTATCAATTAGTAATTAAGTACACTGTTAGTTGATAAGTTAGTTTGTCGTTAGTTTGTGGCTTACTTACTCATTATCTGTGTGCTAATTGCTGCTTATTACATTGTTAATTAACTAATTAAGTATTTTTCTTCATATAAAGAAGTAACGTGATAACTTACTAGCACTTATGTGTTAATCCCGCTAATTATCTGTTAATTAACTTTCCATCACCTCCATATATTCAGTTGGCTCACTTTTCTCACTTTGGTTCTTGTTCATTAAAGATGCTTATGGTCACATCTGACCGTAAGATGAGCGCACACAAATTCATGGACGGTTTTGTTATTCATCACGTTCATCTTGGCATATCTGTACTCATATCTGGTAGGAGTGCATGTAAATTTGGGCATAAATGCTGGATATGTGGCTAATTAACCAAAACTATTATCAACATAATCTGTAATTGCAAAAATAAGAACAACAATAGAAAATTTCAATAATACTAATTTGTGTGCATGACAGTCCAGTACAAAAGTGGATGTACTTACTTTACATGCACATTGATATAAACAAGTGCTGCAACTATTTCATGTTCCATTTAAAGACACATTACACTGTGCTTTTGTTTCATACTACTGACTCACACACACAGCCTCGGTCATACACTGCAATAATACAGCGTTTATTTTAGGGAATTAATTACACTAAACAATCACTCTACTATGTTAACAACACTGAGTATTTTGTTTTATTTCACATTTTATTTTTTCTAGTTTTCATTTTAATACTATTAAGTTTGGTCAGCAGGGGAGGAGTGCACTCACTGCTGGACATCAAACTCCACCCACGAGCACGGCCATTAGCTTCCATGCCAAACACTGCCGTTTTATTGGCTGGCTACTGAAACAACTGCATGAATTAGTGTGTGCTTCATGTAAATGATATGTAAATGAGGTGCTGGTAGGCTGGTTTCATGCACTGAAGCTGATTTATCATTTATGCTCAAATCTCCACTTGTTTCCACATCGTACAAAATTGTTATGAATCAGACGCAGAGCAGTTCATACCTTATAAAAGGCTTTTTTTTACGTAACTTTGATGATTAATGGCCATTAGATCTTTACACTTTGACCATTAATTACTTCTTAAATTCCTCTTACTTAATCATTAATTACTTCTTAAATTCCTCTTACTCATCCATTAATTACTGCTTTTGTGTCCCTCCAAGTAAAGTGACAACACAAAACCAGTAATTAATGGTTAAGTATAAGGAATTTAAGAAGTAATTAATGGTCAAAATATAAAGATCTAATGGCCATGGGCCCTTTTCACAAAGAGTCGCGTTTACGTCCAGATTAAGCATTAGCAGTGAACTATAATGCTCAAATACTGAGCTACAACAGACATATGTTAGTTTGCACTATCATGACAAAAAGTGAGAATAGGAAGTGAATGGAAGCACTGATTTAACTGTAAACACAGCTGAAATGCTGTGTGTGGTGTAGCCCTGCTTACTGCTGCTGCAGCTGTTCACATCAAGCAGTGTCTCTGTAGTTGAACAACATGCCAGCAATTTCTGTAATATTTCTGTTTTGAAAAGAAATAAAAGTTCTTCTGTGTAGTATGAATTTGGTAGATGTTGTTTAGCTGTAGCTAGCTAGCAACGCTAGAAGCCATTTCTAACTGTAGCTGTGTTCCCAAAATAAGGAAGCTAGTTAGCTTTCATTAGCTGCTGCCACCAGCCGGCTAACGTGGAGCAGGTTCTGTGACACATTTAGCTACAGGATGCAGAGACTTCTGACATAAACGCAAACAAAAACTTTTCCATGTAAAGTCTATTTTACAGACCTCGTTTAAACCGTATTAGCTTATAGTAGGCTAGCAGTCGCTAATTAGCTAGCCTACCATTAGCAGTTTGAGGAGCACCAGCTTCGTATGAGCATCAAACTTTAAAGCTAAGTTAGCTCTAACGCTAGCTATGTTAGCGATCTGCCAAACATCATTATTCTTATAGTTTCATGGCAATTTTTGAAGCAGCACTTCAGAAAACATCCACCTTTCACTGCTCAGTCAAAAACGCGACTCCGAGCTGAAAAAAACATCTGAAAAAGCTGCTTCATGTTAGCCGGGCTAGTTTGGTTAGCAGTAGCTTCTAGCCAGTATAGTTAGCTTAATATAAACAAAGTCTATAACATTCATGCTACATATAAAAGTTCTTTTTTCTTTTGAAAACTACCGAATACTACTGAATACTGAATATTACCGAAATCGCTGGCGTGTTGTACAAAGACACAGAGGCTGCTTGATGTGAAGCAGCTGCAGCAGAACTGCAGTAAAAACAACATACAGCATTTTAGCTCTGTTTACAGTTAAATCAGAGCTTCCATTCACTTCTTACTCTCACTGTCACAACCGTGCAGGAAAACTACAATACAGCTGTTGTAGCTCCGTGTTTGAGCGTTACAGTTCACTACTAAACATTTTGACATCGCGTCTGCAGTAGCTTTATGGAGAGGAAGTGAGTTTTACCCTGCTAATGCTTAAACCGGAAGTAATCACGAATCTTGTGAAAAGGGACCCATTAATCATCAAAGTTACGTAAAAAAAGAACACCTTTTTTTTTGCCTTTTATAAGGTATGAACTGCTCTGCGTCTGATTCATAACAATTTTGTACGATGTGGAAACAAGTGGAGATTTGAGCATAAATGATAAATCAGCTTCAGTGCATGAAACCAGCCTACCAGCACCTCATTTACATATCATTTACATGAAGCACACACTAATTCATGCAGTTGTTTCAGTAGCCAGCCAATAAAACGGCAGTGTTTGGCATGGAAGCTAATGGCTGTGCTCGTGGGTGGAGTTTGATGTCCAGCAGTGAGTGCACTCCTCCCCTGCTGACCAAACTTAATAGTATTAAAATAAAAACTGGAAAAAATAAAATGTGAAATAAAACAAAATACTCAGTGTTGTTAACATAGTAGAGTGATTGTTTAGTGTAATTAATTCCCTAAAATAAACGCTGTATTATTGCAGTGTATGACCGAGGCTGTGTTTGTGAGTCAGTAGTATGAAACAAAAGCACAGTGTAATGTGTCTTTAAATGGAACATGAAATAGTTGCAGCACTTGTTTATATCAATGTGCATGTAAAGTAAGTACATCCACTTTTGTACTGGACTGTCATGCACACAAATTAGTATTATTGAAATTTTCTATTGTTGTTCTTATTTTTGCAATTACAGATTATGTTGATAATAGTTTTGGTTAATTAGCCACATATCCAGCATTTATGCCCAAATTTACATGCACTCCTACCAGATATGAGTACAGATATGCCAAGATGAACGTGATGAATAACAAAACCGTCCATGAATTTGTGTGCGCTCATCTTACGGTCAGATGTGACCATAAGCATCTTTAATGAACAAGAACCAAAGTGAGAAAAGTGAGCCAACTGAATATATGGAGGTGATGGAAAGTTAATTAACAGATAATTAGCGGGATTAACACATAAGTGCTAGTAAGTTATCACGTTACTTCTTTATATGAAGAAAAATACTTAATTAGTTAATTAACAATGTAATAAGCAGCAATTAGCACACAGATAATGAGTAAGTAAGCCACAAACTAACGACAAACTAACTTATCAACTAACAGTGTACTTAATTACTAATTGATAAGTGTTTAATCAATTACTAAGTAATAGCTAATGCTTAATGAAGAGTTAACTAATAACTAAATAATGGGAAACTAATAGTTGATTATTATATATTTAATGATTGATTAGCGACCCTTAATGTAAAGTGTTACCAGAATGTTTATGAAAATGACAACAACAACAAGGGCATTATTAATACAGTTCATTTATGCAGAATCTAAAATATATCTTCAGTATATAAAATGAACATAGACTTTTTGTGTTATGCTGAAGGGGGGCAGATCAAATGACAGGTGGGTTCAGTTAGTTAACTATTAACAAATAACACTGACATTTATAACTGTTTTCAATGGTAAAAGAAGTTTATAGAAGTAGCTATTTTTTGAATTCATTTTTATAAGAACAACATGACATATTAGTAACAATCAATATATGTGGAATATAAAATATATTCCTGAATTAATTATTTGTGAAGTTAAAGAGTTAAGTTGAATGTGAAAACAAATAGATATTTAAGTCTTTGTCAAGTTTTCCAAAATTCAAATGTTTAAATCTCAGGTTTCCTTTTATTGTCTTCTTTTCCTCAAATTCAGTCAACCTCAATGTTTTATACGACTGCCTTATGATATTACAAGATATTTCTGAGTTTAGACACATTATCATCATATAATTTACAAAGTTTACCACTGTTTAATTGAACATAAAGCTAACAGACAAAAAAACACTGCATTTGTTTTGTGGACGTTGATTAGCAAAGAGCTAACCTGTTCTGATTTCCACTCAGCATAAGGCATGCAATAAGTTGCCTTCTCTTGTGTTTGCTTTGGCTATTGTGCAGGGAGCATAACGGGTAAGAGACAGATCCTGAGTGTAGAGCTGCGGTCAGATCACAACGTAAATGACCCTGCGGTGAAGGAGTCCATTTTAGAGATGGTGAGTCACTCCTATTGGCACACAGTGAGTGGTGAGACTGTGCTGAGGAAGTGTTGTCATTTTGTAGTCTGTGACATTGCATAGCACTGCTGTCACTGAGTTTTAAGAATCTGGTCAAAGAGATTTATTCAGAGTCTTATTTTAGCCACACCCCTGCATTTTACTGCAGGAAGTGAGCCTGCATCCCTGTCCCTCATGGCCACATGGTGAGCAGTTGGATCCTACTGTTTTAATGCAATTGTGTTCCAAAGACTGTAAATCAGTTTGTAACATTAAGAGTAAACCCATTTTCTGTAATTAAGTAAACTTTTTGTGTTTTAATGAAAAATATTATGATTTTATGAGCAGGCAAGTGTTTAAAGCTATGTTTACTAATCATCTACTGGCTGGATTTTTTGCCCAAAATTAGCTAAATTTGTCCCTACTGAACAGTCACTACTGAAACATTTGGTAAGGTTTCAGTAGTGTTATGATTGTTTTGGTAGTGAATAAATGGAATGTTCAGTCATTTGTTGTAATAAAATAAACACAATTAACATATAGGTTTACTCAAAGCAAAGGGATTTTTGCCAAAAGTTGAAATGTTTTCAACACTGACTTTGAACCAGTTCAGTAGAATGATGCATATAGAAAGTGGAAGGAACTTTTTAAATAAGGGTGGTTGGTTATATGATGTATTTGTGTAAAAGCCAGTGCATATTGAGTACTGATGGAAGAAAATGCCAAAATAATATGAATTCTGTCAAACTGATGCTGTAGGATGCAATATTGCACAACAACATATTACATGACAAATAAACTAATAATACTAATTGGATTAATAATAAAAATAAAACAGTGGTTTTCAGCAGTTACCAACTCCCTGCTGCTCACTGCCACAGTCAAACAAATCCCAGCCTAATGTTTGGGAACCTATAGTTATCAGTGGTCACCAGTCCTGCTCCTGGAGATTTAGTTGCAACCTGTGTTTAACGTGCTGCCCCTGCCTTTACCGAACAGTTATTCACCTGATCCAGCCAATCATGGACTTCTGAAGAAGCTACAGCAGGTATGACTGGTTGGAATTAGTCTCTGCAGGAAGGTAGATCCCCAGGACCAGCGGTGGTGACCACTGCTCTAAATCCTTTGCAAAAACAAATTAATTATGGAAACATCATAATAGAGTGAGGGTGAAGCTATCTGCAGTGTTCTGTAATAATCTGTAATAATCCCGGTTCCTCAGATCCTGCAGGAACTGAAGCAACATGGGATGGCAGAGAACACCACGCTGACCTGGAGGCTGCAGCCAGATGGAAACATCTTTCAGAAGAAAAAGAATAAGGAGCTATAACTATAAATTAGTTTCCAATGCAATAATGTTATTTTTTTATTTATTTGCTATGTAGTAGTATGGGAATGTTGGTTAATTTACTTGGTGTAAATCATTATACAGTATTTTTATGCTGTATAATTTCTATGGTACTATTGTGTCCTTTTGTATAAATTTGGATTTCAGCAGCGTCCAGTTGTAGATATATGCATTTATTTGTATTTCAAGTGCAGTTAGTTGCGTTTTTACTGTATTGTTCAATAACTGAGTCTGTGTTGTTTGGTTGTAAACACTGTGATTCTGCTTTAATCCAACACCAGAGAAGGTGCTACGTTTTATTTGATAATAAAATTCATTCAAATGTTCTTTCATTTCTGAGGTGTCCAGTCACTGCTTACCTTCACAACGGTTGATCTCACTTTACAATGCAGTCCCCTACAGATTATCTACAGATGTTTAAATTGTTAAAAACCATCTAGCTCAGTTGACCAAACAGTGGTGGGGTTAGGGTTAGGATTTGGACCAGCGTTAGGGGTAGGAGCAGGGTAAGGGTTGGGTTTAGGTTTTGGGTTGAGATTAAGGTTATGGTTAGAGCCAGGTTTAGAGTTAAAGATAATAGTGAATTTAGTAGATATTTAGTTGAATGTAACCTAATTAAGTAAGTTAAGTATCTACAAAGCATCTAAAGTGTACTATCCAAATAAAGTGTTACCCGATGGTTTTGCAACATTTTGCGTTTCCCAACATTGGGCCTCATTCACCAACCATTGTTAAGAGGAAATTTCTTCTTAAAACCCACATTCTGACATTTACCAATGTTTTCTTATCCCAGGCTACTATTACTACATACATACTAAGGCTTATTATTCAGTAACTACATGGATTTCAATAGAAACTGTCTGAGCTTTTCTTAGATTAAGAAGGTTGTGCGCGAACCATCTAAGGGGTGAAGCCTGGTTGTAGTAAATAACTTGATGTGGGGTTATCTGTGGATGTTTCTCGAGTGGAGTGGAGTATGATTTTCTCCTATCTCTTAAAGATTAACCCTTTAAGTGCTGTTTATCTGATGGGGACAGTTTTAGTGGTCTGCCGTGGACCCTGGTCACTCAGCAAGGGAATTGAACCCAGGCCCTTCTTGCTGTGACCGAAAGTGAAAGTGGTTCAAACTGTGCACTTAACAGCACTTCATAACTTTTGTCGTTATAATGTCTAATACAAGTGTTGTCTAACTAATTGTTTTAAAACCAGCTGGTGGGTGGTGTAAATTTTGTTTCCAGAGCACTGACAGCCACCAGTCATGTCCCACTATTATTCTCAGGAGTCTTTGCATGTGTATGTTGTTTATTCGTGCCGTTCCTGTGCTGTGGGGTTCTGCGTTTGCTTATAGAACTGTTTCCTCAATTTACATGCAATTTGACAGGCTAAAACAGCTAGTTATATGTAACCCATACTGCTGCACATACTCTCACTCACCCATTCTTTGGTCTACCAGATCAAAACTCTAAATGTAGATCGCTTATGGGAGCCCAACCAGTTTTCTTATAGGTCTCCTACATATATTGCTATATATAAAAATGGGTAGAGTTGTATGTTGACTGACTAAAGACTTAAGACTTGAAAATTTTAATTCTGGATAAATTTTTAATACTGCCTTTAGCCAGTTATTTCACAAACTTCAAAATTCAGCCTAGACCTAATTAAACAAATCTTTTACTTCATGTATACTTCTCCTTCATATACATGAAATTTGTAATTAAAAGCAGACATACAATAGAGCAATTCTGCTGGTGTGGGTTTCCTCTCTTTCAGTGATGCTCAGGATGTTTTCTGCCTTCTGCCCAGTGACCGCTGGGAAAGACTCCAGCTTCACCCGCAACCCAGAGGGATAAAAAGCTTTGAAAATGTGTGTGTGTGTGTGTGTGTGTACGTGTGTGTGTGTGTGTGTGTGTGTGTGATTGTTGCATGATGATAACTGGTGTGTTAAATTCCAGTATAGAAAGGCAAAAACATTTCAGGGAACAGTAACTCCAGTGCAGTGACACATTTTCACCAGTTCTTTGAACAGTGTACAATATTTGGTGCAGCAGCTGTGTTCTGTAACCAAAACCCTGATAATATTTTGATTTTTAGCACTGACAGTGGTCAAAATGGTGTGGATGTATATACACACTGAGAAAGTGTTCAATTTAACACTGACAGTGTTAACACTGGCAAATATGCAGTGTAGTTTGTGGCTGACCATGAGTGCAATCAATTGTTATTGACCAGTACAGATAAATCATCTGCCCATTTTGAGCAAATCAAATACAATCCCATTTCCAAAAAAGTTGGGATGCTGTGAAAAATGTAAATAAAAACAAAATGCGATGATGTGCAGATCATTTAAACCCTATATTTCATTGAAAATGCTTCAAAGACAACATATCAAATGTTGAAACTGAGAAATATATGCCCTTTTTTGGATTTGCTGCCAGCAACACGTTCCAAAAAAGTTGGGACGGAGGCAACAAAAGGCTGGTGAAGTTGTGTAATGCTTAAAAAAACACCTGGTGGTTAACTGGCAACAGGTCAGTAACATGATTAGGTATAAAAAAGCATCCCAGAGAGGCTGAGTCTTTCAGAAGTTAAGATGAGGAGGGGTTCACCACTCTGTGAAAGACTACACAAGCAAATAGTGCAACAATTCAAGAATAACGTTTCTCAACATAAAAAAACAAAGAACTTTTGCTTTTCATCATCTATGATACATAATAACATTAAAAGATTCAGAGAATCTGGAGAAATCTCTGTATGCAAAGGACAAGGCCAAAAACTAGTATTTGCTGGCTGTGATCTTTGGACCCTCAGGCGGCACTGCATTAAAAACAGACATGATTCTGTAGTAGAAATCACTACATGGGCTCAGAAAAATTTCTGAAAACCACTGTCTGTGAAAACTGTTCAGCGCTGCATCCACAAATGCTAATTAAAACTCTTAAACGCAAAGAAAAAAACATTTATAAACAGGATCCAGAAATGCTGCCACCTTCTCTGGGCCCGAGCTCATTTAAAATGGACTGAGGGGAAGTGGAAAAGTGTCCTGTGGTCCGACAAATCAACATTTGAAATTCTCTTTGGAAATCATGGATGCTGTGTCCTCCGGGATAAAGACCACTCGGCCTGTTATCAGCATACAGGTCAAACGCCAGTATTCATGATGGTATGGGGTGCATTAGTGCACATGGCATGGGTGGTGTGCACATCTGTGAAGGCACCATTAATGCTGAATGACATAAACATGTTTTTGCAACATGTGCTGCCATCCAGACAACGTCTTTTTCAGGGAAGGCCTTGATTATTTCAGCAAGACAATGTAAAACCACATTCTGAATGTACTACAACAGCATTGCTCCGTATTAAAAGAGTCCAGGACTGTCTGCACTTGTCACCACTGAAAACATTTGGCACATTATAAAATGAAAAATGCAACAAGTATTTTTCAGTTCCCAAACGCTTACAGAGTGTTGTTAAAGGAAGTGGTGATAAAACACAGTGGTAAACATGCCCCCGTCACAACTTTTTTGGAACGTGTTGTTGGCATCGAATTCAAAATGGGCACATATTTTTCAAAAACCAATAAAATCTCTGAGTTTCAACATTTGATTTGAGGTTTCCTTAAAAGAGCTTACTAGCCGCCACCTGGAACACTGCAGCAGCCACCTCGTAACACCCTAGAAACCACTTTGGATACCATAGCAACTCCCTTCTAACCATCTAAAAAGCCATGACAACCAGCATATAGTTAAAACGCTAGTATTCATGATGGTATAGGAGTGCAACCATAAAGAAACGGCAATGTGCTCTTTTCATGTAAGATGACCCATTGAAATAGCCGCTGCATAATTCACTTCCTGTTGCATTCTTTATACATTTTTTTAATTTTAGTACATTTAAGTCTCTTCTTGTGTGCCTTGTTGCCCTGGTACCAGTCATACAGTCTTGTAGGCTGCTGTATCGCACTGCACTGCATTGTGATAATTAAATTTTTCACATTGCACTCTGGTCTGAGGCAGCGTTTCCTTTGCTATGTAAAACAGTATTTGTGTGCGTGTGTGTAAAGTTGTAGAGGCTACTGTGAAAATTTGTCCTACTCCTTAAACCAACACCAGAGAACAGTGCTACTTTTTATTTGTTAAGAAAATTTATTCAAATAGCGAATCCTATCTCACAAGTTTGGTTACCATTTACCATTGCAGAGTTGCCTCTAACAACACTTTAAAACATCTTACTATTAAATACCTGCTGGTTTTGTAGGATATGTCTGCAGCTGGGCATTTTTAGCATGACTGCTTCTTGCAAAAAAAAGGATGTAAAATATACAATGACAATATATACTTAATCACAACACATACTTCATTCATAGCAGAGATGTGATACATATTATGGCATTATATATATTACATATATTAACTATCTATCACATTTTTCAATCTTTAGTGTCCACCCTTTATTACAGCTTCCATTCTTTTCAGGTTATTTTTGCAGCAATATTTTTCCACACCTCCGAAGTTCATTCTTCGAAGTTGGCTTTACATTTTCTGCATCTCACGATCCAGATAATCCCATACACATTCAGTGATGATGAGGTCTGGACTCTGGGGTGGTCAGTTCATCGTTCTGAGAACATCAGCAGCATATTTGTTTGATTTGTCTGTTTTCTTTTCTCAGTAAGAGCTTCTTGACAGCTATGCATCCTTTCAGACTTAGTGTTGAAGGATGTTACAGTGGAAGGATGGACAGAAACACCTGTGGATGTTTTCAGATCTGAATCAAGAGTGGAGCTTGACTTTCTCCTCTCTGTTTATCCAAATGGGACAGTTTTGGTGGCCTTCCAGGTCTTGTACAGTTGTTAGGGGTCCCAGTGCCTCAGGAAGGGATTGTTAATTAGTTCATTAGTTGGACAAAGTGTGTTGGGAACAGGGGGAACTCTAAAATATGCAGGACAATGGTACATCAGGACCAGAACTGAGTACCACTGCCCA